CTTCTCCTTATGATCTCTCATGGTCGGTCTCGAAACAACCAAGGTGTGGTAAATTTTTATCATTTTTCACTGGCTGGATCAATTGTGTGGCATGAAAACGAATTTTCAACAAAGCTCAATCACGACACTAGGGATAATATTTTCGCAAGAAAAAGGCTAAGGCTCAAATAAATCAAAGATGACCTAAGATCCTTTCTAGATAAGCATGGGAGAATATATTGCATAACAAGAAAAAGTCAATCAATTACCCAAATGCACTCTAACCAAAACAAGAAAATAAGATTATTGAACAAATTTGGTATTTGAAAAATTGTTCATTGAGTAAACGTAAGTTCCCTCCAACAAGAATTGACACTAAAGCTCTCATGGTTATTTACTTATCTCCACTATTCATGCCAAGCTAAAAAATGTGAATTCAATCCATAAATTGTCGAAATTACACATTCAAGGTGCACTTATGGTTGAGTTCAAAAGCAAACAAGTATGTGATACTCTTAGCATAGAATAAACTTCTATAATGTGATCATGTATTCACAATTCAAAGCAAAGATCATCATATCAATAAATCCACAACACTTTGAAAGGGGGAATAGAGTTCAACATTTAGATATTTTTCACAAATTTTTTTAAAATTTTCACATATTTCTCAACTATTGTAAACAAAAATTGTAGAACATGTGAATGGTGAATTTCACCACAAAATGGTATTACCAACAAAAAAATTTCACAAAAAATTGGTGTATCATACAAATGGTGTACCTCACCCCCCAACTTGATTCATTCATTGTCCTCAATGCAACCAAAAAATATGATATGCAACGATGAACTTAAAAAGATAAGTAGGGTTAGAGAACACCTCGCTTGGAGCTTTGACAAAAAACACCGTAATCTGCACATTTAAAGAAAGAAAACTATGCAAAGATGAAAGTAAGTAAAAAAATAACTTGGAAAGTAAATGATAAAAGAAAACGAATGTACACTAAAACCTACATGAACAGTTATTCCTCCAAAAGGTCTAGGTAACCGGATCCAACAACTCTTCCTCCACCTTTTGATCCTCAAAAACCTCGAAGAATGGCTTAAGTCTTTGGCCATTGACCTTGAATGTTTTTCCATCCTTGGGGTTTGTGGATTTCCACGGCTCCATTGGGGTAGGCTACCTTGAGAAGTTAAGGGTCATCCCAATGGGATAAGAGTTTTCCTTGGAAGATGGATAGTCGAGAATTATACAAGAGCACTTTTTATCCGGGCTCAAATATTTTCCTTAAAATAGATTTATCATGAAAAATCTTAGCCCTTTCTTTGGAAATTCTTGAGCTCTTGTATGCATCTCTACGGATCTCCTCCAACTCATTCAACTCCAACTTCCTATTCTCTCCGGCTATTCTCAAGTTGAAGTTCAAGGTCTTGATGGTCCAATAGGCTTTATGCTCCATTTCTACCAGCAAATGACAAGCCTTGCCATAGACTAGCCTACAGGGTGACATACCTAAAATGGTCTTGTATGCAGTGTGGTAAGCCTATCGGACATTGGTCAACCTAAGTGACCAATTCTTCGTATTAGGGTTCACCATTTTCTCTAGGATGTTCTTGATCTTCCTATTGGCCAACTTGGCTTGGCCATAGGTTTGTGGGTTATATACGGTGGACACTTTGTGCATGATGCCATACTTATGCATTAAGGATGCAAATGACCTATTATAGAAATGAGAACCACCGTCACTTATCATTGCACGAGACATCCCAAACATTGAAAAGATGTTTTCTTTTAGGAACTTGACTACAACCCAGTGGTCATTGGTCTTGGTTCGGATAGTCTCTACCCACTTGGACATGTAGTTCACTGCCAATAAAATATAGAGGTAGCCAAAAGACATAGAAAATAGATCCATGAATTCAATGCCCCAACAGTTGATTATCTCAATTACTAACACGGGGTCACATTACTCAACCTTTGGCACCTATCGCATTCCTTGCAAATTGAAACACAATTCTTAATTAAGGAAGACCAATAAAAATTGGATTGCAAAATCTTAGCCGAAGTCTTTTTGGAAAAGAAGTGTCCACTGCATGCTTCAGAATGGCAGGATATAAGGACGTCCCATTGTTCATTTTCAGGAACACACCTCCTCATGATTTGGCCAGGGCAGTATTTGAACAAGTATGAATTGTCGAAGTAAAATTACTTCACATCCACCATAAATCTTCTTCTATCATCCGGGCTTCAATGCGGTGGAATTTTTCCTATAGCAAAGATAATTGCAAATGTCAGCATACCAAGGACAAACAAAATGAACGAAAAATAAATGCTCGTTAGGAAAAGAGTTAGGGATAGGAATATGCTCTTCGGTATCTTGAACCACAAGTCACGACAGATGGTCTACCACCACATTCTTAACTCATTTCTTGTCTTTGTTGATCAAATTGAATTCTTGAAGGAGGAGGATTCACCTAATGAGTCTCGGATTTGTGTCATGCTTAGACAAAAGATACTTCAAAGTAGAATGATTAGTGTAGACTACAATAGGCGAACCAATGATGTAGGACCGAAATTTATCCAATGCAAATACTATCGCTAACAACTCTTTTTCGGTGGTAGTGTAATTCATTTGTGCCTCATTTAGAGTCTTACTAGTGTAGTATACTACATATGGTATTTTCTCTTCTTGTTGACCAAGCACAGTACCGACCGTATAATCACTCGCATCGCAGATGAGTTCAAATGCTAAGTCCCACTTGAGTGGTCGCATGATTAGAGGTGAAGTGAGCATGCTTTTGAGTTTTTTAAATGATGTCTTACAATCATCTGACCACACAAATGGGATATCTTTTGAAAGCATATTGGTCAAGGGTTTTGCCAAAGCACTAAAATCGTTTATAAAACGACGATAGAAGCCGTCATATAGCCAAGAAATGACCTGATGTCCTTGATGACTTTCGGAGTGGGGAGGTTCGAAATTGCTTCCACCTTGGATTTTTTGACTTCGATCACTTTCTTTGAAAGAATGTGCTCGAGCACTATCTCTTGTGTCACCATAAATTGGTACTTCTCCCAGTTGAGAACCAAATTCTTCTCGTCACATCTCTCAAGTACTCTCTCCAAGTTCTCCAAACAACCATTGAAGGAATCCCCAAACACCGAGAAATTATCCATAAAAACTTCCACAATCATCTCCACCAAGTCACTAAAGATCCCCATCATGCATCTTTTAAAGGTTTCTAGGGCATTCCACAACCTAAATGACATGAATCGATATGAAAAACTACCGGGGGCAAGTGAAGGTGGTCTTTTCTTAATCTTCCAATGCTATCTCTATCTAATTGTATCCTGAGTAGCCATCCAAGAAAAAATAGAATAGATGCCCAGCAACCCTTTCCAACACTTGGTTGAGGAACGATAAGGGGAAATGGTCTTTTCTTGTGCACGAATTGAGTTTTTGATAATCAATATGCACCCTCCATCCGGTGACCACCCTTGTTGGAATTAACTCATTTTCCTCATTTGTAACTACCGTGACTCCTGATTTCTTGGGTACTACTTACGTGGGGCTAACCCACTTACTATCGTCAATCAAAAATATGATGCCCACGTCAAGTAGCTTGAGTACCTCATCCCTCGCCACATCTTTCATAATGGGGTTGAGTCTTCGTTGTGGTTGTCGGGATGGTTTTGTGTCTTCCTCCAAGTAAATCCTATGAGTGCAAATGAGGGGACTAATCCCCTTGATGTCAGCTATGGTCCACCTCGATGGCTCCTTTGTGCCTCCTCAATACACATAACTTCTCCTTTTATCGTGCCTCCAATGTTGAGCTTATTACCACCAGGAAAGTATTGTGCTCCCCCAAGAATGTATATTTGAGGTTGGATGGCAATGGCTTTAACTCCAAGTTTGGAGTTTGTACAGTTGATGGAAAGATCTTTTTCTCTTGTAATGGAAGTCTCTCAAATGTTGGGATCCATTCTTCTACCCCTTGTAAACTTTCTAGCTCTTCTTGATCAACAATCTCCTCCCCCCCCCACTTCAAAGTGCTCAATAGCTCCAAGTGATCCTCTAACAAAGTGTCAATCCGGTTGATCCCATTTACTTCTTTGTCATCCCCCGGTTGCTTGCACAAGTTGAACACATTGAGATCCATTGTAATATTCCCGAATGCAAGTTTCATAAGTCCATTCCTACAATTAATCATGACATTAGAAGTAGCAAGGAACGACCTACCTAGTATGATAGGAATTTGTGAACGAGGGTTAGCAACCGGATTAGTATGAAGTACAATATAATCAACAGGAAAATAGAAATTATCAACTTGAACTAAGACATCCTCAACTACTCTCATCGGTGTTCTAACGCTTCGGTCTGCCAATTGAAGAGTGATTGGAGTTGGCTTCAACTCTTCAAGCTGAAGTTGTTGATACACCGAATATGGTAAGAGGTTGACACTTGCCCCCAAGTCAAGAAGTGCTTGCTCCACCCGGCAATTCCCTATTGTGATGGCAATGGTTGGACAGCGGGGGCCTTTGAACTTTGGTGGTGTGTTAGTCCTCAAAATGGAGCTCACTTGTTTGGTGAGGAATGTCTTCTTGTGCACATTCAACTTTCTCTTTACAGTACACAAATCTTTTAAAATCTTGGCACATAAAGGGATTTGCTTGATGGCATTGAGGAAGGGGATGTTGATCTTCACATGTTTAAACATTTCAATGATGTCAAAATAATTAGCCACCTTCACCAGTGGCTTGAAATGTTGGGGAAAAGGTGCCGAAATAGGCCATGAACTACTTAAGTGACCTACAGTTGAAGGTGGTCTTCATTAATCCATTCAAATCATCATTAGGGACAATGTTGAAGATAGTCTGCACGACTAAGATGGGCTCATGAAGAAAGGGAGTTTTGTCTCTGACCCATAAGTGATGGCCTAAGCTGGTGCCATTTCCCTATTTCTCAAGGCTCGTTGGACCAGCAATCTCAGGCATGTTGGGGACCTAGAGAATAGGGATGTGATCACAAGTTGGATGAGGAGTAGATCCGTTCGGAACATCCACAATCTTCATGGCAAGCCCTTCTCCTTCGGGGTGAGTTAGAGCCAAAGGATCTTGGTATGAAGTTTCCAAGCTCCCAAAAAGGTAAACTCAAGACATCCCCAAAAGTCGGGGAAGGAATTGATTCCAACCTTTTAGGAAGAGGAAGATCAACCTTCTTGTGCAACCTCTTCCATTTTCTCTCCTGAATAGTCTTCTTGATCAGATCCTGGTGTAAGGCCATCTTAACAAAACCTAAAAAAAGCAAGAAGAATGAGAGGTATAATAGAGAAACAATAAGGTAATTTTGTGCTACTAGTTTGCATTTAGGAACAAACTAGATGGGAACTCCTTAACAGGGGGACCTAATTCGTATTTGGCTAAGTTCTTGCCAGTCACGAGCTCCTTAAAGGATCTCAAACCATGCTCTTTAGCCTGGGCAATTCGGATTATTTCCTCAACAATAAGGGAAGGTCGGTACTTTGCGACAACAATTCAGAACAAAGTAAAAATGTAACATAAAAACATCAAGAAAAATGGAAACCAAACACCCATCTAAGTAGGACTTAGGAGTATTATTGGGGACGTGCCAAAGTTGGGGAACTCAAGTGGGGTCACTTGTAGAGTGAATGGCTCTCCCTAGTTTCGGCCAAAAACAAAGGAGGTTTTCCCCTTTTTTCTCTTCCTCAATTTATTAGAAGACTTAATCTAAAGGATCTCATCTTGGCGGTCTGAGGTTGATAATTCAAGATCAAGAACACGTGTGAGGGCCTCTAAAGTTCATTTTGAAGGGCAGGAAGTACTTCTTCTTGGACCTCCTCAACACAGGGATCCTCATCCATATGAGAAGAACGTGACCCCACATCTTTAGAACTATCCCTTGGTGTTTAGGAATTCAAAGGAATAGATTCAGAGGAAGTATCAAACACAACCCTCACCATGGGAATCCTGCACCTTAACCTACGATATAAATCAGACAAGTGAGAAAAATAGTCTTTTACGGCTCTCAGGTCAAGACTCCAAAACCTCACTAAAGATAACCTAAACAGCAGAGGACGATTGACGAAGAAAGGAAGAGATGTAAAAGACCCAAAAGAATTCCTAAAGAAGCAAAACCTGAGAACCACAAATCAAAATCATACAGACTACCACTAGGGGTCAATTCGGTCCAAAGCGGTGTAAGGAAAGAGAAACATACCTAAAAGCAAGTGGATTAGACAGAAAGGCTATGAAGAGTGAATGGCCAATTTCTGAAAGCTTGAAAGACTTCACGGTTTGTTGAATGAAAAGATTGGGGGCTTGTTACCAATATAGATGAAAAGTTCAAATGCCTTCATTTTTTGGCAATTTAGTCCCCTTATTTGCAATTAATGTGACAGACATTCGTTCAGAAGCAATTAAGGTGCACTATTGGTCAAATGCATGTGTATGTATGAGATAAGAATGTCCTAAAAATCAAGGTGACAAGTACACTGCACCCCTTTCACAAGCTGCACCTCCTCAACCGATCATTTACATCATGTCTCACCTAGGTTTTGATGAATGGTGCATCTCCAAGGAACAAGTTTTACCTCAGGCCTAGTCTAACCCTAACCTAAAGCCAACAATAACACTATTCGAGCTGGGCTTGGGGGATAACTGATGATACCATAATTAGCAGACCATTATCTACATCGGAGCTCAACCTCGAATAGACCAACCTCAAAAATTGAAGCTGAAACAACCAATAAGCACCATGACTTCCTCAATGCAGAAATTGAAGAACAACATCATCTAATGCAGCTCTTGTCTAAAGGCTGCCCAAGCTAACTTCTTACCTTCAACAAGATCATTTGGAGGAAGGATCTTACAGACAACCAAACATTACTCAGCCAAATCATCCAATGACCTTAAGAGTTCAGTCCTCCTAGATGTCGTCACCTTGTTTCTTGAAGACAAATGGAGCATTGTCAGAGATATTATAATGGAAAGATAGTCCTCTAATGATTCTAACTGATTGAGGAGACCACACAATTTGGGATAAGTACAAAAGTTAACCCCTGTATAAATAAGAGGATATACCCTCAAGGAATATATCTAAAACCTCATTGTAATAACCTTCTTCTCCAAGCAATAAAAACTAGAGAGCAAGGGTCTCCATTAGAGTGGAGTAGCCAATTTTTTCAAACTGGTGAATCACTGAATAGTCGACGTCATTGCATTTCTTTAAGTCTTCATATTGCTACAACATTAAACAACTCTTTAACTCTGTTCCCAGAATCTATCATTCACACACAAGAACATACTCCTCTACCTTGGGCATCTTGGTGAACTGACTTGAACATACTCATCTTTGTAGATAGTCTTAGAAGTCCTTTTCAATCCGTTTGATTCACTATGTTTCCTCCTGCTTGAAGTCACCAAAAAAATAACTAGGATAGGCTCTACCAATCCACACAAACATTTTAGAATTTTCTTTCATTTTTTTAGGGAAAGAGGGGGGCTTGGGGGTTTGATGTGGGGATTTTGTTGGGTTTTTATAGGCCAGGTGGTGTATGAAACGTCTAATAGTTACAAAGAGTCCAATGTCCTTGCAAGTTTCTACAATGAATACTAAGAACTCACAACTTTTCAATTTCAATCGTTCACACCAATCATTTAAGTTGCAAGTAGGTGAGAAAATATGTTCAGTTGCTTGGGCATTCCTTGTTGGCACATACTATCATTCCTATGAAGGATTAAACAATAGAGTGATAATAATGTGTATACCACTTGTTTTATAAAATTTTATTTACCAAATAAATGAAAATGGTTGAATCATTGGGACCATCAAAAAATTTAATGGGACCCACTAATTCAACTATTTACATTGATTTAGTAAACAAAATTTGACAAGAGATTTCGTATGCATAGTAGTTCTGTAAAAAAATAAGATAGCATTGATATTGTGTCATATTGGTATTTCCATCCAATAATGAGGTGTCTATATGCATAAAGAAATTACCACGCATGCATACAATCTATTGAGAAGATTATAGTGTGACCCCCTGAGATATGTCCCTTACCTCAATTGCCACGTTTTTTACATTATACATCCAATCATGGTAATTGACCCCACATTTTTCTCTCGACTATTATATTTTTTATACTCCCCTTCCAACTATTGTTATTGTGTTTGTATTGCCTCAATTTTAGACATTCAACATGTACATTTCACGATGTATGTGAACATTTTTCATTCAAATCATGAAGATCATTTATTTTTTGGGGCATCAAGAAATCAATTCAAGAAGTTAAAGGGGTTATGTGAGAAACTTGATAGTTAAAGGTGCAAAATAAGAGTAAGGTCATAATTAGAGGATCAAAATATAATTTATCCTATTTTATTTAATGCAATCACCAACTATTTCTTATACATATTAAACCAGATGGTTCTAGATGTGTCAATAGTAATGTAATATAGGTGTTGCTTTAAATATTTACTCCAATATATATACACGATTTATATCAGAATATTCTCCAAGATATATACACTTTGGTAGATTAGTTATATACATGATTTATATTAGAATATTCTCCAAGATATATACACTTTGGGAGACTAGTCCCACAGATTTTTGTGACACCAATATTATCAGCATCTAGCATAAAAGTGTGGTTACAATGGGTTGGGTCTACGCTAGCCCACCATCCAACCACTTAGTTCGATTCATAGGCCAAGAAGTCGGGCCATTGACTGGTAATTGGGCTGCCCTCAAACACATACGATTCACGACTTATTATCAAGTTACTCTTAATAAACTTCTGAAAAATTGTAAGTAGATGCTTTTTAAACTATTTAATTGTGAGAAAATACTATGACTAAAATATTTTGTAGATAAGTACCTTTGACTTGAAATGTATTATAGTTAGATACTCATTAACAGATTTTCAAATATTTTCTTAACTAAAATACCCTTTCCCTTATTTGAAGGCCTGTTAGTTTGGCAGACTCATTTTTTTTGTGATTTAATTTATTATATTAATGATTTCATATTTTAAGGGATTGAACATATTTGAAATTCAAAATTATACCACATGAAATATACCTTATCGACTTCGCCAAGATTTTGAAATTTATTTTTTTATGTTAAACGGCTCTGGTTATTTTCAAATCTAATAACAATGTCACTTTGCTATGTTACACTATGATATAACATTATCATTCATTAAAAATAATATATATGTGGATGTCACATTATGTGATGCATACTATTTAGATTGTGTATGAATCAATAAATATAATTTCACAACATTTTTGTTAGTGATTAAAGTGTTAATGAAGGTGTTACACTGTCATGTATCACTGTAATGTCACATTATTGAAAATTTGAATCAAAACAGAAGAAAAATTAGTCTTCAATGGTGCTTCAACATTTGTCTTTTTTTTAGTTGACAATTGAAGGATTTTGTAGTAGAATTTTTTTTTTTAAATTTGAAAACCCATGTTTTGAGGGACATAGTAGTTGCCAAATTTAATGGGATTTTTGCATGATTTTTGGCAGTTTTCTTACCCACACTTTGAGCCAGGTAATTGTTACCTTGTGGGCATTTTTTTCATAAAAAAAGTACTTCTATACAACACATTTTGTACTGAGTATTTTTCTATAATTAAGTGGTAAATTAAGTACTGGCTCACAAAAAATCTATAAACTTTTAGCATATTAGTCAACATACCAGCCCTAATAACCTTATTATCTATTTCTAATTGAACACTACAACTACCTTTGACATTAATTAATATTTTTTGTCTCTTATTATTTGCACTCAACTAAATACAAGTCTTTCATTTAGGTATATTAGTGAACCGGCGTGGGGGCGGGGGCGCGGGGAGGAAGTAGTCTCCACTGTCGTGCCCACTTAAAAAAAGTATGTTCATCCCTTGTCCACCCCCCGTTAACATGACTAGTTTTAATCCCTATTCCCGTCTAGCGTGTAAACCCTAATCCTTGGCCTGTCAGTCGTCCCCCACCTCTACTATTAGTCCCTGCCCCCGCCCCCCGCACCCTATCCTAATCCAAAAATTTCTTTAAACCAAAGGATCCAAAACTCACACTAATGCAAATCAAGAAGTTTTTCTTTAAATCTTGGTGTTTTGCTGATAAGAAGAGGATAACTAGGAGGAATATGTGGTGGTTGTTATTGTTGTTTTCTTATTTAAAATCTTGTTATTTGTTTGTTATTTCTTTCCTGGTTTGTTTCCTAGATTGTAGCATTCATTGTAATGGTTATATAGAACTCGAATAAGAATGGAGGAGGCAGTTGCCATTTTTTGATCATTTGAATTCTGTAGAAATTCTTGTTGCAGAGATTTTGGGTTTTGTTTCCTCTCTTGGCCGTCGACATGAGGTTGAACCCTGAGATTTTGCATCATTTTGGTATCAAAACTCAGTTTTCTTCCTAAGGAAAATTCATCATCTCATGCCTGTGACCCAAAGTGGCAATTCATACTCCATGTCAAACAACGCAAACCAAGAACAATCCAACTTACAGCAACAAGTCACTCAAATTGCTTCAATTTTGGAGCAGATCTCACA